AGAGGTGACGTGCATCTGTCCATCCATCATTGCATCCCTCCATCCATTCATCTGTTTGTCCTTCAAACAAGTATTATAAACCTCAGGACCTAGCTTCGCTCCATCGTCAGCTTTCCTCCGTGGATCTGCAGTAATTTTTGTTGGGGAGAAAGCTTGGCTTACGCACTTACAGTCGCACTGTCATCTGCTACCATTTGGAGAGTAGGCGCAAGTTTTTCTGTGAAACTCGTTTTCTTTTCCCATGTACGCCGCACAGCGCTTGTTGGAAAAGGTGTTGCCATCAAATTTTGGTTGACAGTCGGCAAGACCGTTTATTGAAAACTTTCCTACGGTAAGGACGGCCTATGGTGATGATTGTTTTTGCAGGAATGTTGTGTATGCCGGTGCCACAAGGTCCTTTTAGAAGGTTGTGAAGCGGTAAGTCATGAAGTCTGCACTGGATGGCCGTAAATGAACATCACCGATGAAAATGTGACGTCTGTGAGATATATTTTCAACCAACCCTTATTTCAGTATCCGTTCAACGGTGCAGACAATATTATAAAGAATATTGTTTATGGCATTAATATTATAATATTGTAATATTATCAACAGTATTACTACATTCCTAAATGTACAGTTCACAAGATTTTCACGAATGATTATTTTGCAGATTCAAAAAGTGTGCTCTAAGATTGTGCCCAAAGTCTTAACTTCGCCGAGTTGAAGCGCGCCAGGAACTTATGAACTGTTGTGAAACTTACTCTAACTTTTTAGACAACGTCATGACAGCTGATGAATCTTGGGTGTTTTCATACGACATCAAAACAAAATGTAAAAGTGCCGAGTGGCACACTCAGCGTCTTCTCGCCTCAAGGAGGACAGATTGAGCCAAGTCAAAGGTGCAAGACTATAATCATTATGTTCTTTGACATCAGTGGGCTTGTCCAGCATGAGTCTATTACATGTCTCAACCGTCAACTTCAATTTCACCGACACCGCAGGAAATAGTAGATTTTACCTTAGCAAGTCCACACTGCCTTCGTAGTAACCCGGTTCCTGGTCGATTCAAAGGTACCGATGGTTTCCTAGACACCCTTGCGTCCTGACCTGACTCTCAGACTCTTTTCATTTCTGCCCTTAGAAAAATCCCATCACAGATCATCATTTCGTGCCAGTTGACGAAATAGAGGAGGCTTGCACCAAGGCTCCAGAGGAGGCCTATTCCCGACGCAATAAGGACACACTAAAGGAGGCCTGCCATCTTCGAACGCATTCGATGTCTCGGAATCTCAACGGAAGCAATGTGTCAGCGCTGAAAAAGCCTACTTTAAAACCTTCTAATGTGTTGTAATGATCCCAACTGTACATATTTTGGTCGACTGATTGACATTACTTTTCAGACATACCCTGTACATACGTAAAACGGGACAATATTTCAAGATCGTGCTCGCCAACACTGCAATAACGTCCGCCGCGGTGGAGCAGTGGTTAAAGGGCTCGGATACTGACCCGAAGGTCGCGGGCTCGATCTTTGCTGTAGCGGTCGTATGTCAGTGGAGACGAAATGGGAGAGGCCTGTGTGCGGTGCGATGTGAGCGCACGTTAAAGAACACCATATAATCGAAATTTTCGGAGCCCTCCACAACGGCGTCTCATAATCATTCCATGGGACATAAGATCCCAGATATCATTTAATTAACAGTGCAGTAACGTTAAGAACAAGTATAACAACCATTTCTTTAGTTGACCTATGTAAGGGAGTGCGCTGTAATCCCGTGTTTCAAAGAACAAAGTTTATTGTAAAGAAAGAAATCAAGAAGGAAAAAAACAGTTTATAGGCCCTTGAAATTCGTAAAGAAGGTTATAATTCTGTCACTTCGCCCTTTTTCCACCTTTTGGAGAGACAAGCAAACTTAAAAGAAATATTGTGATTGTGATCAGCGAGTGTGTTACGCGCGCATGTTTCTTCTCAAACCACATTGCTCGCTTTCTTGTAATAAACATTCAGTTGGTGGTCAGCGCGTGTCCCATTGTCTTCGTTCCTTTGTTGCCCTTGTAATTGCACAGTGAAATGCTCTGCCCTAAGCGTTTTTAAAAGTATTTTTCTGTGGTTTGTAGCCAGGGGGCCGATTATATGTAGGGGCGGGTTGTGCGCGAGAAGATGACCTATCGAAGTAAGGAGCGTCCAACATCTTCATACACACCCGTGTGTACTCGTCGGGCGCTGGAGGCCTCTGGTCCGCCTTGGCCACGCTGTCAGCCTTGTTCTTCAATATCGTACTGCGCGTGCTTCTACGCAGCGGTGGCGTCAGAGTTCAATCTTTTCACCACGTTTGACGGCATTGATTATCGCTAGCTTTGTAGAGAACCACGAGTCCTTCCATTTTACTGTACTTTTTCTTCTAGCCACTATAGTTTCACGGCAGCCCCGTCGCTGTAACAAAGGGTGCTGAAGAATCGCGAAGGAGCGAATGGTGATCACTCCCGACTGCGCACGACTGGCGAGTGGTGACGAAGTCGCACCAGGAAGGATTTGATGATAAGCGGTGTAGTTTCTACTCTTCGGCGGCGGGCTCCTTATCACACCACTCGCTCATCTAAACTCATGCGGGAAAGTACCCTTCCGGGAAGAAAAGCAAACTTGGGGCGCTTCGCGGTGCGCGATGTGCGATGTAGCCGTAGATTTTCCTATGCTTGACGTTAAAACATTGTCGTGTTCTAACAAAGTTTGGTATAAAAGATAATTCAATTGAACTGAGTAAGTTATTGTCGGTTTGATTGTAGTTTGCATTTATCGGTGTTTAGGGTTGATGAAGCTGAATATCCCTTTGCATAACGACTTCATTGGAGGGTCAGCAGAAATCTCACGATAATATATGTCTCTGAAAAAGCGCGCACGCACGCAAAATGTCTCAGATTGCAGATTGTCAATATAAATCATCAATATTGGTGTGCTCCCGAGGGAGACGAGGTGGAGGGGGGGCACCCCTTTTAATCACCTGAGGGGTGCGATAAGTGGAATATTTGCGGTGAATTAGATTGGCTGTGTCCCGAATGACAACCTTTAAAAGCGCGCTTAAAAAAGTTGACTTCAAAGGATCGTTCCACTTTCAAGTAAGAACGGTGAATTAAATTTTCAAATTGAATAACGCTTTCTCGGGCCCTGGTTTAGCTGTTAATCAATTTATCGCTATCAATAAGTTTTTTCATCAGTTTATTGATGTTTTCCGCTGGCGCTTCAAAAACGGCTGTAACACAGTCAATACAGCCGGTAATACTGCCTCTAACACAGTTAATACTTCCTCAGCCGATACCACCCCTGATGTTCAGCCTTTGCAAGGCAAAACATTACGGACATATCCAGAATTTCTTTTCCGGAAGGAGGGGGGGGGGTTCCACCATACTTTAGGTATGTTGGCCCGTTCGTTTGTTGCATATATACGCAAGCAAAATTGAAAATTTTTGGTACGGGGGTGGGGTTCAAACCCTCGTCTTCCCTTGGCTACACCTCTGCGGAACATTAGAGAAAAACACAAAGGCGTGACCAAAATAGACATCAATAATGTGTACGAGTATTTTGGTAAATACTAAATTGGTGCTTACACGACAAGTGAAAGGTTCGAGGCTGTCTAACCTTCGGACTCCGAAATTGTTGCTGGGGGAAAAGTGAATAAGAACGTTTATTAGTGAAAAATATGAAATAGTTATGCTGCACGGAACTCGTGGGCGTCATCACGAGCCCCTAATTATCACCGCGCCTTGCGCGCACCGCACGCGCACATTACACTCGCCTCACTTCTTTCTAGTCCACCGCTGACTCTCTCGACATTCATCCAGGCCAGGCTATGGGTGGCGCTTTCACAAAGGATAAACAATATATTGTATGGAGGAAAACAAGACCGTGATTTTGGGCATCATGTCGAAGTGATGAAAAATCGTCAAACGAGGAGTGTTGTTGGAATGTTGCAGGACATGAGATGCCACTATGAAAGGGCATTTATTGTGTGCATTAGGAATAAGCACATAGGCACGACGCAGGCTGACAGAAAACACGACGACGCAGCACTGTAGCGTTTTTGAGTATTCCATCGTCCGGCCTCGTTCTTTTGCAGTGAAGTACTCGATACGCAGCACGAGCTAGGCCATCATGTCTGTTCGGATGTATTTAGTGAGTGAAATACATCGCAGAACCAAGCATGCAATGAATGTGAAAAAAATCACCCTAAAGTGAGGTGAGGTTTACAAAAAATATGCAAAAAAGTTTAATCTAATTCTATAAACTGAAGTGGCAAGTTTTGGTTTTTTGAACCGCACGCTCTTCTACAGAGCAAAGAAATACCATCTGGCGTTACTTCGTCCATTGCAATGGTAGCGCTGTTTGGGTGCCAACTGATACTTCTAATCCGTTCAACCCCCTCCCTTGCTGCTTCATTGGTGTGGTCCGCACCAGGACAGGCGCGTGCAGCCTAGGAAGGTCTATCGCAACATTGTATGGACACGGCCTCTGTATGAAAAAAGCGTATGGCTTTTTCATCCAGCGGCCGTGGTATGGGGAAGACCTTGGGTCCCTCTCCTCCTCCTAGGTGACGATGCCCCCGCCCCCCGGGCGTGCGCTTATGTGATCAAGGGATGTTCGTGACCAACCGGCAACTTGAGTGGCTTTTAATTGGTATGTGAAAAATAACCACTAGGATGCTACAGATACTACTGCAATATATAACTCTACTGTTATGCATGTAGGTGTGCGCACTGGAAAGAAGAGGAAAATGAGGGCGTCATTTATTTTTCAGGTAACTAGTATGACCTTAGTCTCTCTCGAGCGTCCGCAGAGAGCAGACGTCTTCGTCGGAGCTCTAGAGTCTGCGAGAGACGCTATACCACGTCTCGCGCAGTGCTGCTCGCGTTCTAGGACTCCTATTCCCGTTCGAGTTTAGTCAATAAGATTACTCCTCATAGATATTGCCCTTAGATTCCTGTCACCGCTTTTGGTGACCTGAGTCCTGACACAGCGTCTTCTGTCACCTGCACGTCTCTTGGGCAGCTCTCACCACCACTACTACGGCGGAGAATTCTCCACCATTCTCGGCTACGCCATTCAAACGCCCGCCGCGTTCCCTGGCCCGCACATCCACATCGTCACACAGGCGCTCGGCAAGCGTCGCGTGCACCAACGTGCTGTGGAACCTCATCTCCAGTGCAAACGCGGCGCGGCTGCGTCATGAAAAGGCACAGATACTGTGAAAGGTCGTCAGCGAGAAACCTAGAACACTTCGCCTACCGGTGCCTGCTACCGACGCCGAGACAAAAGGGGCCTGAGGTCTTCGGCGACCTTCTGCCCCCCCCCCCCCCCTCCCCATTAGCGCCGTAGCATCTTTGATTACAGTAGCGGCGCTTCATACAGCCCAACTCGGGGTTTCCAGCTCAATTGGTAGGCTCCTGACTTTTTCCTCGCTTATGGCGGATTCTGTCAAATCTTGCGCTGTGACGAGTTTGCCGTGCGCGCACGTAACCGACCCGCAGAACGTACCATGGGAAAGTTCAAATTTTATTTTCTTCTTTAAAACAAAAAACAGGATGATAAGATTTTTCATATGAAAGGAACTGCTTATTTGCTTTCGATTTAGATATAAAGGTGATTTTTAATTAAACCAACAGATAGTGCAAATTGCGTCTTAATGTGGACTAAATTGACGATTCTGCAAAAATTTGTGTATTTTTTTCTCGTGAAATTGAGCGCATCGGAAGGTCTAAAAGTATTTTTTCCTCGAAGTATACTTTCTGTTGAGTAAGTATTTACTACTCAGATATTCATACGAAGTGCTCTATTGCAACAGAAAAAAATGCAAACATAACACGTCTTGGCTAAATGCTTGGAGGCGTATGTACCAAAACATTCCGCTATTACTGAGGTTCACACAACTTACACAAGCATCTTTACTCAGCATTAGACCAAATTTGGAATAGAAAGAACGAGTGGTATTTTTAAAATAAAATTTTCCGCTAAAAACACCCGATCCACATTTCGGGGAAAATTTTTTTTCTCTCAGAAATATTCTAGGACACAGTTCAGGTGTCTAGCTTTAATCCCCCTATCCCTTCCCCCTTTATGCCGGATCGCCAATAAAGTTGTTTCACTCAATAGCACACAGTTCACTGTTGTCAGTGCAGTAAATCAGCGCAATGTTTTAAATACATTTGAGATGGTCGCCAATATGGCTGGGACGTTTGGCGTCAAATGACCCATACGTGACCGAATTAACACTTTCAACTTGTTCATTTTGACACAAGAAGCTGCCCTTTAAAAAATTGGGGGATCCTTAAGCTTCGCCCTTAAGGGATGAACGCGACAGCGATATCCTGTCGCTAGTGCGTACTTCAACCACTATGTGCATGAAATCTTTTCGAACTTGCTCGAACACTCATTGTTCTTGGCTGCATTAGGACTTTGTAGTATTGAGCAGTACAACATCGCACGCGTGCGCGCGCGCCATTTTGGAGCTGCTTTAAATAATTTGTTGCGTAAAATGCCGCTAGACATGCTTTTATGCTTTATGTCTCGTCACTCATGTTACGCTCTTCGCTTTCCATACAGGCTGACCACTTATAGCCTGCCTTCCATTCAGATGAAAGTAGTTGGTTCGCAGTAATTTCTACTTTAGCTCAATACACTTTAAGCGACAGTACTTACCGTTGTCTGGGCTGTCGAGTACCGGTGCAGAAGGTCGAATGTAGGAATTGTCAGACTGAGTCGTCAAGTCTGGTTCCAGGAGCCATGGCAGCTTCGCTGATGTGTTCGGTGGGATGTATGGATACTGCGGCGTGTTGTGGCTTGAGTTTCCCATTGAATGGTCAATTTCCTGTCGTGGGGTTACATATATTGCTCGAGCAGTCCCGCCAGTAGGCAAGGACTGCGGTTGTATGTATGCGTGGCCGTCTGTACTGTTTGGTTCTTGAATAGCTGGCGCTTCTGTTCGCCATTTCGGCGTGGTGTATCGTGGAAGCTCAGTTAGGATGGACCACTGTTCACTGACCTTTGGTTGTGAGGGTCTTGTGTAGAGAGGAACATCGCCCAGCTGTTGGTTTGACACCGGAATCATCCCCAATGTGCTGTAGAAGGACTGGGCTGTTGGATACATCGTTAACGGTTTCGGAGCAGTGCTTAGTGGCGCCGGTAGCCTTGGCTGCATGTATGACTGGGCCGTTGACCGAGTGCTAGGTGTATGTGGTTGCTCAAGGTCGAGCCAGGGGTCTGTGTCACTATTTCTATTGTCGGGAAATGTTGGCTGTTTTGGTTTAATATAAGGGCGGTTGTCTTGCCCTGGCCAGATGGTACTTGGTGATGTGAGCTGCATTCTTGGCGCATTGTTGTACGATGGAATGTTTCCGGGTGTTCCTAGCTCTGTCAACATATGTTCTCTTGGTCGGACATATGGAGGGTTCCAAGTAGAAATAGGATGCAGTCCTGGTATCGTTCGCGCTTCTGTGAAACTGGGCAAGATAAACGAAACTGATGTCCCAGTTTCTTGTGGCATGGTGGTCCAGTACATAGAAGTGAGCAGAGATGTGAGTGGTAGTGGCATCTGCGTGTGTATTTCCGGTTTCAGGTAAGGAGGATGATGGTCACCAGTAGTCGCAGCTGGTTTGGGCAAAGGAGTCACATTAGCAACTCGTGTGCAGCGTGTTGAGAACGCGTCATTCAATGGAGGAAGTTCTGGAGTGATGTAGGGTGGGATATCTACTCCTTTACGCGTTGCATAAAAGCTAAAATGTAGAGGTGTTCGAGCTGTCATCGGCGGAACCGAGTCAGGCTGCAATGGTGGTAGCTGCGGTCTTGTGTACAGAGGAAACGTTTTCTGTTCAGGTGAAGGCAGCGGTGTTAAGGCGCGTATAGTTGTTGATGCATTTTTTCGGTATGGTGGAGGGAAGAACGTAGAAACGTTTTTCGTATTAGCCGCATTTGGTTCAGTATCCGATAAAGATGTTTGGATCACGCCTTTAGAGCCTGGTATTAAACTTACTGTTGTCGGTGCTGGATTGTTTGGAGAAGTCTTAATGTCTAAAATTGTAAATCTTGTGGCTGATGGCGTAAAGTAACTTGATAGTGGTTCTATACTCGGAAGAGTAACGAGTACACTTGTTTGTGACACTTTAACTGGACTAGTCGGTACAAATTCATTCAGTGTTGTTGGATACCCAGTTCCCCCTTTCGTACTTGAAAACGGGGATGGTATATCGGTGGCATCGACCATTTTTACAGATGGAGTGTTATGGATTTTTGTTGTAGTGATACCTGTCATGGTACCAAAAACCGTTGGGGGTTCCGTGGATGCGTACATCGTAGGAGGAAGTGTGGTGCGCATGGTGCCTTTACTCTTGGGTGTGGTATGCGTCATTGGATCGGTAACTCTTGGGGTTGAGGTTGGAGTACTCGTGACGGCTGTAGCCCTAGGTAATATAACTGTTGTTAGAAAGTCTAATAATGTGGGAGTCTGAGTAATGGTAGAGCCTGCTGAAGTGATTGTACTGGCCTCGTGTTGAGGCACTCCAGACAGGCTTTCTGTTGCACTTGGTTTTTTGCTCGCTGTTGTAATTGTACTGGCGGTAGTTGCGGTGTTTGAGGCGTCTTTGGTTGTCAGCAATGTAGATGATGTGAATGCTGCTGTGCTCTGTGTGGTGCTGGTTGTTTCTCGCGCTGTTGATGTCCTCAAATTTATGGTAGTCGTGGCCGTTGGTGCTTCTTTGGTTGTTGACAACACTGTAGAAGCTCTTGTGGTAGGCGCATTTTCTGTGGTGCAAGGCGTCTCGCTCACTGTGGCTGTTGTCAATGTACTCATGGTAGTTGTGGTTGTTGAAGCTTCCACGGTTGTCGCCACTGTATGTGCTGTTGTGGCAGGTGTACTTTTTGTGGTGCTATGCTTCTCGCTTGCCGTTGCTGTTGTCAATGTACTCACGGTAATTGTCGTTGGTGACGCTTTTTCGGTTGTCAGCGCTGTAGATGCCATTGGGGCAGGCGTGCTTTCTGTGATGCTGGGCGTCTCGCTCACTGTTGCTTTCGCGAGGGTACTCACGGTAGTTGTGCTTGTTGACGCTTCTTCGGTGGTCAGCAGCGTAGATGCTGTTGTGACAGGTGTGCTTTCTGTGGTGCTAGGCGTCTCACTTGCTGTTGATGTGGCCAGTGTACTCACGGTAGTTGTTGACGCTTCTTCGGTTGTCAGCGATGTAGATGCCGTTGAGGCAGGTGTGCTTTCTGTGGTGCTAGGCGTCTTGCTCACTGTTGCTGTGGCCAGGGTACTCACGGTAGTTGTGCTTGTTGACGCCTCTTCGGTTGTCAGCGCTGCAGATGCCGTTGAGGCAGGTGTGCTTTCTGTGGTGCTAGGCGTCTCGCTCACTGTTGCTGTGGCCAGGGTACTCACGGTAGTTGGGGTTGTTGGCGCTTCTTCGGTGGTCAGCAGCGTAGATGCTGTTGTGACAGGTGTGCTTTCTGTGGTGCTAGGCATCTCACTTGCTGTTGATGTGGCCAGCGTACTCACGGTAGTTGTTGACGCCTCTTCGGTTGTCAGCGCTGCAGATGCCGTTGAGGCAGGTGTGCTTTCTGTGGTGCTAGGCGTCTCGCTCACTGTTTGCTGTGGCCAGGGTACTCACGGTAGTTGGGGTTGTTGGCGCTTCTTCGGTGGTCAGCAGCGTAGATGCTGTTGTGACAGGTGTGCTTTCTGTGGTGCTAGGCATCTCACTTGCTGTTGATGTGGCCAGCGTACTCACGGTAGTTGTTGACGCTTCTTCGGTTGTCAGCGCTGTAGATGCCGTTGAGGCAGGCGTGCTTTCTGTGGTGCTAGGCGTCTCGCTCACTGTTGCTGTGGCCAGGGTACTCACGGTAGTTGTGGTTGTTGATGCTTCTTCAGTGGTCAGCAGCGTAGATGCTGTTGTGACAGGTGTGCTTTCTGTGGTGCTAGGCGTCTCACTTGCTGTTGCTGTGGCCAATGTACTCATGGTAGTTGTTGTTGACGCTTCTTCGGTGGTCAGCAACGTATATGGTGTTCTGACAGCTGTGCTTCCTGTGGTGCTAGACGCCTCACTTGTTGTTGCTGTGGCCAATGTACTCACGGTAGTTGTTGACGCGTCTTCGGTTGTCAGCGCTGTAGATGCCGTTGAGGCAGGTGTGCTTTTTGTGGTGCTAGGTGGCTCGCTCACTGTTGCTGTGGCCAGGGTACTCACGGTAGTTGTGGTTGTTGACGCTTCTTCGGTGGTCAGCAGCGCAGATGCTGTTGTGACAGGCGTGTTTTCTGTGGTGCTAGGCGTTTCGCTTGGTGTTTCTGTGGCCAATGTACTCACGATAGTTGTGATTGTTGACGCTTCAAGTGTTTCTGTTGTCTTTGCATTATCGGCAGTTGTGGTGGTTGACACTTCTTCGGTTGTCAGCACTGTTGATGCTGTTTTGGCAGGCGCACTTTCTGTGGTGTTAGGCGTCTCGCTCGCTGTTGCTGTTGTAAATTTACTCATGGTAGTTGCTGTTGTTGACGCTTCTTCGATTGTCATCAACGTAGATGATGTTGTGACATGTGTGCTTTCTGTGGTGCTAGGCGTCTCGCTTGGTGTTGCTGTAGCCAGCGTACTCCCGATAGTTGTGGTTGTTGACGCTTCAAGTGTTTCTGCTGTCTTTGTGTTATCGGTAGTTGTGGTGGTTGACACTTCTTTAGTTGCCAGCGCTGTCGATTCTGTTTTGGCAGGTGTACTTTCTGTGGTGCTAGGCGTCTCGCTCGCTGTTGCTTTTGTCAGTGTACTCACGGTAGTTGTGGCTGTTGACGCTAGTTCGGTTGTCAGCACCGTATGTGTTGTTGTAGGTGTGCTTTCTGTGGTGGTAGGCATCTCGCTCGCTGTTTGTGTTGTTACTGTACTGAAGGCATTCGTGGCTGTTGAGTCTTCTTCAGTTGTCAGCGCAATAGATGTTAGCGCTGATGTGCTTTCTGAGGTACTCGGTGTATAACTCTCTGTATCCATTGTTGCTGTACTGAAGTCGGTTACGGTTGTTGGCACTTCTCCGATTGTATTCAACGCCGTAGATGATGCTGTGAAAGCTGTGCGTTCTGCGGTACTCGACGTCTCACTCGCTGTTGCTGTTGTACCTTTACTGAGTGTAGTTGAGGATGTAAGAACAGTTGATGTGATAGTAACAGGTCTGCTGCTGACACTTTGTGTAGTTGTGATTTCTTTCGTCAGAACACTAGAAGATAGTGAAGTTATTGTTACAACTTCAGGGGTTGACGTATTTGTGCCACTGCGGTTCTGAGTGGTAGTTTCCGCAGTTATGGTATAAGTGACAAGTGAGGTTGGCTTGGTGGTTGTACTCAGTGGAGGCATGGGTGTGCTGTCTGCAGTGCTGTACATCTCACTCACTGTGGTAGTAAGCTGGGTGACAACGCCAACTGTAGGCGTTTGTGTGGCCTCTGTGGTCACCAGCGCAGTGAATGTCGCAGTGGGAGTAGTGCTCGTAATTTTCTTTGTTGTAGCACCAGCTGTTGGGATTAAAATAGTTGAAGGCTTTACACTTTCTGAAGTTGTGGGAGTTTCACCAGTTGTAGTTGGTAGCGATGAGCTTTTCAAAGTGGTAGCGCTGGTGTACTGTGTTGGTTTGGTTGTGCGCGCGTCTGTCGCTGAAACGCTAGATGACTGTGATGGTCTCGTGGCAGGCCAAGTTACTTGTTTGGTGACAGTCGTCACAGCCCACGTAGGTGGAGATGTCACTATGGTTTCCGGTTCTGTAGAGAAAACTGTGGGTACAAGCACCGGAACGGTTGTGGCAGGCAAAGCTGGTTGACTGGGAGCACCTGTCGTATAATCAGGTGTTGTCTCAGGCAAGTCTCCAGCACCTAGAACGTGGTACGTTGTTAGAGCATATTGTAAAATGACAAATTTTATTCGATATAGGAAAAAAGTGGTTTGATATATACCTGTGTAAGTTATTCCCTTCACAGCAACAAATACTCGCTCAAAGGCCGCCATTGTTTCGAAAGCGAGCTGCAAATAAAGAAAAGGAAAAAAAACAGGGATAACGATCTGCATTTGAGAGGAATAAAAAGCTTGTAGCTTTACTGGCCCTATATATTAAGGCTTCAATGTATTATGCTTCCATCCGTCCGTGCCCAGATATCTCTGTCGCCATCATGATACAGACTCACAGTTGTGTCACTGATTTTATGTCAAAAACTTGCACGTCCTGGCAAATTTCTTTCTTTATTCTGGCATAGCTTCTCAGTCGAACATAATATTATGAACAGTAACAACGAATTTCTCATTTTTATAATGCGTGGTGCTTAGATTCGCCAACAAGCAGTATTTCAGTTTGAGCGGACACCAGATAGCGCAACTGTGTTTCACAGGCGCGCCTGCCAGCGATTCCATGGTAAGCGGTTCGATGAAGCACTGCAATATGTGTATTATACCCCATATCAAACGCTATACCAAATGGTATAGATGCAAAAAAAGAACAACAACAAGGACAAAAAGACATCGCATAGTTAATCGAATGGCCACAGTTTTTCGCCGACTGCACTTTAGAATTTACGAAATGACCTTCCTATTTACAGTAAACATTGACGTACGAAATAAATGAACAAGCAAGGCTCGAGCACGTACAGGCAAACAAAAACATATCTCACTAAATAAAAACCAACTCAGCATTTCGCAACGCTGGTTCGATGAATTGACCAAACAGAAGGGAGCAAATGCATTGATTTTTTTTTCGCTTATCTGACATGATACGAGCTGCAAGGTTAGGTGCATGGAGGTCCTGGGATGGCGATGGAGGGAGAATGCTACCATTCCCCTTGGCTCACTGAAACTTTCAAATAAGCGGGCAGATTTATTGCAAGATGGGCGTGCGCACCACATCATTTCTTACGACTGGCATACCGTGAAGGGCACCGTCTGTTTTGATGTTGACCGCCCCATCTTGGCTAACTGAAAAAAAAAGGCGCACGATCTGTGCCACGCTCGCTTGCACGGGTGCGCACGTTTGTCACTTTCTCTCAGCAGCGTCAAGACGGCGTGCTCTCGCGCATGCTTCATCACGATTCCACAATGTACCTCACGTGTCACGTGGTGGGCATCACGTTGAGTCCTTGCACGATGAACACTGCACAAACGAACAAAGCTGAACCAGCGCCTCCTAGTACCTGTTCTAGGTGGCTTTGGCTGAACTCGCTGCACATTGTGAATGGCATGCAAATAAATGAGTCATTGTTGTGATGAAAACGTCTGAAGTTATTTTCCACACTATTCCTTCCAGCAGCGTAAAATAAAGTTGTTTCTCTCTTTCTCTTTCTTTTCCAGCAGCGTACCACGCGTCCAGAATGAAATGCCATTATAAGGTTTGCGAGCAGGATGCCATACGCTACGCCCGTACTTGGACGATTGTGCTCCGACCCACATGTCAACACAGTAAGAATTAAAAATGTGGGGCAGGGGGCGCGAAGGTACCCGTGCTCACCCCGCTAGCACCGCCTAAGGTCAAATCAAAATGTGTCGTTCTCATTTCCTAACTTCGGATCACGTCGGCGTGCACAGCGGCGACTTTAACTACATTTGTAGATCCGCTGTTCATGCAATGCGATAACTTTTATTAATACAACGCTTATTCTCTATTCTTCTGTGTGCTTTTGTCCTGCACGTGCTTGCATGTGTGTGCATGCGTGTGTGCGTGGAGAAGGAAGATTTAATTTACAAACTTTTGAGGCGGATTGAATATATGTGGAAGGTTTAAACCATGGGTGTGGTCGGGGCATGCAACCTTACTGATGTGAATGCAATACAAGAGTGTGCTTCGGTGCAACGCTGCAACCTTTCTGCGATCGTATTCAGATCATACAACCAGGGCGGGATCAGCCGTCATTCTGACCCTGAAAGGGCTTCCGTTGGAGTTCGGGATGGCGACGACGGTGGCCGTCCAGTTGGTCGGGAAAGAGTTCCTCCAGGTGGCCCAGTCCTCCCAGAGGTGTGAAGTTAGGCTGGCGGGGCTCATCAGCAGCCTGAGATAGACCCGGTTGTCGCCGAACAACTTGTAGGCGAAGCGCAACGCTTGATTGCCTCCAGAAAGTGATGGCGGCATAGTGGGGCTCCACATGCGCGCTACCGAACCACAGCTGGATGCGTGGCACTGTTCGGCGCGCACGAACATGTCAGAGCCATCTGCGTGGTGGAGATGTATGACACGCTCGCTCTCTCGTGACACACAAACACACACACACACACACACACACACACACACACACACACACACACACACACACACACACACACACACACACACACACACACACACACACACACACACATGACCCTCCTTCACAAAGATAAAATTGAGGGTTACAGGGAACTAAACGAACTAGTTCTCGCATCTGCACAGATGTTTCAAGTACGGATCACTTTAGGGACCTGGCTTTGCTTCCACCCATTTCATGTGGCGTCATCACGCTCACAGTGAAGCGCTCAATAAAGGCCATAACAAGGCTAGCAATGCTCCAATCTGGGTTGAAATGAACGAGCAAGATGTGAAGTAATATAATTAACGAAAACCATGAAGTATTCGCAATAATTAAACTAAAATCGCTGAAACCTTCCGAACACATGGGGCTGACTCCATGGGGGTGGGGTAGGGGGAAGTGCAAGAGAGGGCGCACCGCCTCGCCGAGCGAGTGAATCATCTTCCCTCTGTGCCGCCTTAGCGTTGCCTCCGCCAACGTTACTAGACTAGGTAACGTTACTAGACTAGTAGCGTTAACGCTAACGTTACTGGTCTAGTAACGTTGGCCTCCGCGTTAGCGCTGCGTCTGGGGAGCACCACAACTGGGTAGACTGAAGCTACAGCGGACGTGACGAAGCATTATGGGTTACGTGGTTCAAAAGAAGGTGAGCGTGTTATTAACAATAATTTTAGCAACACCAGGAAAGCCTTTGTGGTGCTTCGGCTTGAACTACGATAGAGGAGGAGACACAAAAAGAATACAAAATATTAATCGATGATTACCCTGCTGCCTGGTGCGAATTATGAGCACCGGTGTTTAGGTGTTTGGTTTTTGCGATAAGATGAGGAACACAATTTCAGAAATACATGTATGTATCAGGCACGTAGTGAAAATTTTTTCAGGGGTGGGGCGCAAGGCCTAATTACTCGAAAGAAAGTCTTTTCATGGCAAATAGAAAGAAAGTTGCCCGGGACTATAGAAGGTGCCAGACTACTAGAATAATATGGAAACAAAGCGGAATGCAGCACAAGAGGCCAGTTTATCGATGATTCAAAGCAAATTTTGACACTTCAGTAAAGCTAGTGTGTGTGCACCATAAAGATTGCTTTCCTACAAAGCAATCTCGACCAAAATGTCCCCTGCAGATTCAGTAATGGGGAAACGAGTGACCAAAAGAAAAGAAAAAAAGGCGGGGAGGGGCGAATGCAGGGGGAACCGGTCGTTCACGTACGCATGTGCGGCAAAAAAAAAAAAATATCG